AATTTATTTTGGAAATCTATCATGATTTGTAAACCAATTTTGGTTATTGAAGACAAATTAAATGATTCTACTTTAAAACTACAAGCAAATAGGAAATACTCTAAAAAAGACTAGATATGTGAGTGATTGATATGAATGATTCAGAAAAAACGACTAGATATGTGAGGGATTGTTACGAATGATTCATAGCAATTGCGAAACAAGGCTAGTTTCTAGTTGGTGGAGCGTCTGAAGCAAAGTCCTGAGTTTGATGTCCAATGACAGTAATGATACTTGGAGTAGCACCTGTCAATTGTAAGACAGCCTAGTAGTGCCGCCTCGGGGTATGTTTTCTCGGAATGTGTAATGTCTTGAGTTCGATGCCCCTAGAAGTCCCGTATGATGTTATCGGAGGCGTCTGGCTGTTGGGGGCAAAGCTTTGTGCATAAAATTCCAGCAGCTGCTCCAGATTTGGTCTCTCTCCGTCATGACAAAAATGTGGTGTGTGCATGGCGATATTCCTAGGTTATGAAAAAATTAATTTGGCAATTACTCTCCAATTCACTTTTGACAGCCAGCCCAACTTAACGACTAGTAATATTTCTCCTACCATCAAAAGTAACCCTCCTTTCTAGTTTCACCTTCACAAACTCCAACTCATGATCATGATGCTAAATGCTTTCATTACTTTGGGGTTTTTTTTCTTCTTCGGGTTCTAGGGCCTCTTTTTCATCTCTATGCAGAACATTAATTAGTCATGTCCTCTTTTCTTATCAAATTTAGGGCTAGACATTATGATGTTCCCATGAACAAAAACAATCAACATCGGTACCCAAATATTTCCTCACAAAGGTACAATAAAAGCTACCCACCAATGACGGATTCAGAGGGCGCCTCTGGTCACGGCTCAGCCCTTTTCCAGATCCAGAACTAGGGTAGCACTTGAATTTTTTTTTATTTTAGATATTCGTTCCAGTCTTCGTCAATTTACGAACCAATTTTCCCAACCTCTTTTTAAACATGACCCAGTGCTCTATCCTATCCTGAATTCGCCCCTACTACCCCTCAACAACAAAACAAACAAATTCAACCTCTTTCACTTCCCCCTCCTCCCCACTTCATCAGACATTGGGGAAAAAAAATATTTTGAGGGGGACAAGTCCTTTAGAGGCTTTAGTGTTGTGGGCATCAAACATATATAAGTCCAAGTTCAAAGATTTCGAAGATAGTGGGATGCATTTCCCTTTATCTCTTGCGGATACGGCTTCATTAATTTGCTTATTGACCAATGAATTTGGCACTAACTAGCCAAAATCTTTCGATCACTTTTCTAGTGCGGCACACATGAGATATATGTAATTTGTGTTAGAGAGAGAGAGAGGTTAGCTTGGAAAAGTCAGACAATCATTTTCAGGTGTCACCAAATCAAACCCAAAACCCAAAACATTTCCTAGGATTCAAACCAGCATATGTATTGTGTACATGATGTGGCCAAATTTCCCCTCGATGGGAGTAGAGTTTGTGCTTTCACGCTTCCAACCGCCCCAATCGCGTTAGGTTTTGGAACATAGTATACAAATATTTGAACCGTCCTTGCATGCCAAAAAATGCATGTATCACAGTAATATCAAAGCATAATAAAATCACTTAGGAATTAAAAAGCCATTAACATGAGATATTTCTATTGGCTGAAATTAGTATTAGTGCCATTGCCATACTAACATACTAACAAATTGAATGTTAACACGTTAACCTATGTCGTAAGTCTTCCCATAAGTAAGAAATTAATACAAAGACTATATGCATAAAAAATATTATGAATATTATATGTGGTATAAATTCGATGCAATAGGAAAATCAGACAATAGTGTCTACTGACTCGCATGGTAAGTCTTAAAGGCTCGATGTTTAGCTAGTCTACTACACCTAGTCAAGCCTAGTATACATATATTAGGTGGTTGAGTATAGTGGTGACCGATGTTGTATTTTCGAGGCAGAAAACCCCACCGCTACTCAAAGGATTAAAATCTTTATATAGCTGGCAATTTATGTTTGTTATAATTTACCAATTACAAATTAATTAAATTAGATAAAGAGAGGGAGTATTTGGGGATTTCATCCCCTCTCTAGTTTGGCATAATTTTCAACGCAATGGACGTTCAATAATTCAATTACAGTGTTTCAAGGTGTTGAGATACCTGACGAGACAATTGAGTCAATGCTCATGCATCCAATTGCCCTCCTGGTTATGGTAGTCAATTCATGAGAGTCCCCTAGGGAATTACGATCCTGGTGTTCGGAACAGGAAAATTTGATCACTCACTACGACGAGATCACATTTTTGCGCCGTTGCCAGAGATTCTTGCATTAACTAGATTATTACTTGCCAAAATCCGGTAACTCATAGTTGGACCCAAAGTGGGTGATGATGCTGATTGAACCCAAACTGGGGTATTGGTTTAGAGTGTGATACATGGTTAATTCTTATTGTTCTGTCCACTTAGCTCTCTTTGATATATAAGGGTGTGACCCACAGCTGCTAAAGTATTATTATAGCGTACCGAGACTTCAATAACTCATAATTGGAAGTGGACCATAAATAATAATCATGAATCTTAATCGTGTATAAATTAGTGTTTTTCATATGAGCCACACCACAACCAATACCCACTCTGGATTCAATCAGCATCACAACCACTAACTACACCCCACTAATCATTGTCATCATCATCCCCATTTTCTATAATACCTCTTAATTCCAATCTAATTTGCTAGTCCCACATACAAACAACTCCTAACAACTTCCGTCCCTAATTCTTCAACTTCGTAAGACCAATTGCCAAAAAGAAAAGAAATAAAAAAAACTTAGTAAGACCGGAATTTTTATTACATTTCAGATAAATCTCATACAAAAATGTACAACAGAGATTTATGAATTCTAAGGAGCCAATTCAATTTTAAATAACAAGATGTATTTTCAGGTAAAATAAAACTATTGTAGTTGGTTGTTTGGTAAGGCGAGAAAAAAAAAAATGAAGCGAGACGCTCTCGCCTCTCTCTTCTGCTTTTGGAGAAAATGCGGGAAAACCCTGCTTGCTCTGGTGAAGATGGCCATGGCGGTATGCATCAACAATGATCGACGACCGCGCACCTGGTCAACCCTGCGGCCTGAACCCAGCATGCCGTCGACCGGCCGCCCCGACAGGGGATTTGGGAAGAACGCTGCCTTTGTCCGGCACCCTCGGCGGTCATGGGGGAGAAGCGGCCAGGAAAACACTCGTAAAGAAAAATGTCACTCTCAATTAAGGAGTGGTAAACGGAAAATGGGAACATTCACGATGTAGATCGGTGGTTCCGTAAAAAAGAAAAAAACCGATAAGATAATCGAGCAAGGAAAAGCCTTGTGGCGGTTCAAGCTTCCATCTTCGATGGAATTGGATGATGGTGAGTCTACAACCCTGGGGTTTCCCATGGTGGGATCATCGATGGGTACATTGGGTACTAGAGAAAGATTGGAGGACAGCGCTCCGAGTCTGAATAATTATGTTTCTGGTTGTGCGAGTTTTCGCCTGGTGGTGGCGGCACTACTGCTAGGGGGTTGGAGGAGGTCGGCTCCGGAGACCAACAACCTTCGGGCCGACCTACCTCGTGATCGTGCTGAGGGGGAAGGCTGGATTGGGGATGTTGACCTGCCTCTAGATGAGTGCCGGGAGGCCGCCGCCTCTAGATCCGAGGTCTCGACCTAGCCAGGGCCGCAACGGCGTAACAATTAAAGATTCCCAAATAATCTCCGTGATTCGGGGGATTTCGCCGTTTGCGGATTTTTTATTTTTTTCCACCAAATCTCCGAGTCCTAATCTTAAACTTAGAAAGCCTATTCGTGTTGGGAGAGGTGGGTTAGGGGACGTCTCCTTCCGGATATATATCCCCACCATCCCTAGCTCTGCTGCCCATACTTTATTGAGACGCAAAGCTACTTCTGTTGAACGTGGGATCCTAGGGCTGAGTAAACGCAAGGAAGGTTTTAACTCAGGTACTTCGTTCTTCCTCCCTTCGTTTGATTTTTCTGGGCAATTCCCCTTGAGGTGCGCCTATATATCACAACTAAGCTCCATGCATATAGAAGAGTTGGGGAATAGTGCTCCGTCCCCAATTAAGGTAGACGGGATTTCTAACTATCTCCCTGCTTCTCTCTCGGACCAGGGTCAAAATATGGCGCGTCTTGCGGCGGATCAGGTGGTGGAATTTTCAATGGAGGAGGTCCAATCCACAAAGTACCGGGCAAAGCACTCCTTGATCGGGCGGCTCTTCACAGATGCTCGGGTGAACCTTTTTGAAATAAGGGACGCGCTGATTTCGCCGTGGCAGGTGCAAGGGCGTCTGAAGGTGTCTATGACAAAGCATGGGCTGCTCGAATTCACCTTGCCATCGGAGGAGTCAGTGTCCTGGGTACTTCAGCGAACTCCGTGGGTGGTCACTGATAAGATTCTATATCTTCGTTCGTGGGTGCCTATTGTTTCGAAGAATATTTATGCGGAAATGGCTATGGTCCCGTTGCGCATTCAGCTCCGGAACGTGAGGGAGGACTGTTGCACCCCCCCCAGTTTGGGAGAAAACTGGCGAATAGCAAGCTGGGTCAAGTGCTGGAGGCTGGCGTTTTTACCAGCCACGAGACTGGAGAATATTTTGTGAAGGTCCGAACGGTGATGGATCTTACGAAGCCCCTTCGTTCGCAAATTATGGCTACCAGTGATGATACGGGAGGTTTCTGGGTGAATTTTAAGTACGAATATCTCCCGACTTTTTGCTATCGCTGTGGCCGTGTGGGACATGCTAACCGCAATTGTTCATTTGACCCACCGGTCGGAAAAGAAAGATTCGGGTCCCACATGACGACCAAAAAGATGGGCACCAGGGTCTACGATGCTGATGAGAGACCCCAACAATCCTGGCTGCTCTCGCGGTCGGTCTGGGTCAACCAAGACGTGCGTGATCGTCGCGAAGTTCAATCTGCCCAGCCGATGGAAGCTGTGGAGGCTGGCGAGTTAGAAAACACGCATGAATCGGGTACAGCTGGGATGCCTGCTTCTCGTGCCAAAAATGCTGTGCGAAGCCCTCGGAGGTTCCCGGTGCCGAAATCTCCGAAGATACGGCTGGCCAGGGGCAGTCGGAATCGCACGCCCAAGAAGAATGGAACAGCTGTAGCTTCGGGGGCGGGACGCGTGCGGATGACCACCGGTACTGACAGAGCAGTTGGTGCTGGGGAAAAGAAGGGACAGGCCCAGCCTGCTGCTGATGAACTCACGACTCGGTCGGTGCAAGTCGGTGCTTCCCAGGACAAAGGCGTATCGAGGAAGAAGGAGCGGGCTGATGACAGTCGGGCTATTGTGGCCTGTGACGAGCAGTTCCAAAGTGCAGCTGCTGGATCCCAGGTCCACCGTCGTCGGCTTATTCTGTCGGATTCGGAGGATGAAGCGGGGGAGGAGATTTGTGTCGAACCCCCAACACTGAAGATGAAGAGGAAAACGATGAGGGGTGGTAGGAGGAGGTTGGTGAAGGCGGCAGTCAAAGGAGTGAGCAGGGAGGGGGAAGTGAGGGATCGGCCTCATGGTAGCCCGCCAGTTCATGGGGAGGGCGAGGCTAGCCTGGTGGGTGCGAAAAAGAAAAAGAAAGATCGGGAGGTGACAAAGAGGGGGCATCATCAACGACTCTCGGAGATGGTGGCTGGGGAGGGTGAATATGATTTGCCAATTAAGGCAAGTTCTCTGCCGAGCCACACTATGGATGGAATGGTGGCTAAATCCCCCTCCAGTGCACTGGTGGAATCGGCAGCCTCTTTGTCGGAGGAGGAGGAAAACTGCTTTGAGATTAAAAGCCGAAGTCAGTCCTACGACAGTGGTGACTCTCGCTCCATGCATGGGAGGGTCCAGCAAGTCGTTGCTGCTTTTGAGTCAGGGGTGCTGCTCAAGGATGATGACGACGCTGGCCATGGGAAACAAGCTAGTCCGAAGGAGGAGGATGGGGTGAAGGTAGGCCATGGGGTGGGGGTGGCGGTGGAGGCTGATTCGGTGCTAGACGAATATGGCACAAATTTCCAGCAACCAGCCTTGGTTAGCCATAAGCGCCAATTGGAGGAGGTGGAAGGGGAGATGGGAGATGACCCTTTGCCGAAAAGGCAGTTTGTGGAGGATAACTCTGAAACGGTGGAGGAAGCCAGCCGAAAATGGCCCCAGGCAGATAAATGAAGCTTCTCGCTTGGAACGTGCGTGTGATTGGGCCCTCCCTCACGTTCCAAACTGCTCTTGGGTTAATGCATTCGAATAAACCGGACCTTGTTTTCTTTTCGGAAACAAGATCGCGCCGGAGAATAGTTTCCCGCAGTATGCGGGGGTTAGGTTTTGATAGTTCGCATTGTTTTTTTGTTGATGCCATCGGTTCGTCTGGTGGTCTTGTTCTTGCTTGGGCCCCTGAGGTTGATGCCTCGGTTTTTTTTCATTCCAAATTCTGTATTTGTGTTCGGATTAATGAAGTGGATTTTGCTTACGTGGTGGTGTTTGTTTACATTAGTTGTAATGCCGCATTAAGAGCTACCCAATTAGCCCATCTCCAGGACATTTGTTCCGACTTGAATCTTCCTTTTGTGGTTATTGGAGATTTTAATTCTACCCTTCACGAGGGGGAGAAGGATGGGGGCAATCAATGGAATGCGACTCAGGCTACTAGCCTTCGTGATTTTATACATGATGGTGGCCTTCATGATCCAGGATACCAGGGTGACCATTTCACCTGGACCAATAAGCGTATGGGAGAGGCTTGTGTTCGTGAAAGGTTGGACAGAGCCCTTTGCTCCCAACGCTGGATGGATCAGTTCCCGGACACTTTGGTGAAGCATTTTACGGATAAGGGATCGGATCATCGGGCTCTTCTCCTGTCGGATAAGCCTTATGTCCGAAATAGCCGGCCTCTTTTCCGATTCGATGCGCGCTGGGCGGATAATCCAGAGGTTAGGGCGATGGTTCGATATGTTTGGGCGGAGCCGGGCCATGGACTCCTATGTTTAGGTTGTGGGAAAGGCTGAAAAGGCTCCGCCACCTGCTCTATGATTGGAGTAGGGCTGGAACCACTAACTCCCTCCGGAATATCAAAACGCTCCAAGCTGAGATTGAGCGGATAAAATCTATCCATCCAATAAATTGGGATGAGATTCAAACCCTTGAGCGGGAGCTTAGCAGACAGTGGGAGGCTGAGGAAATATACTGGCAGCAGAAATCGAGAGTTAATTGGCTCAAAAAGGGCGATAAGAATTCCTCTTACTTCCACACGGTAACGAGGGCTCGTCGGAAGAGAAACTTTGTGACTAGTCTCCGACGTGATGATGGGGAATGGATATCTGATGAACCGGGGAAGGCAGAGATTGCTACCTCCTTTTACCAAGAGTTGTTCACGTCTGAGAATCAGGTTCAGGACATGGCAGCCAGGGTAGGTGACCTCCCCATTGCCCATTGTGTGACCCCTGCGATGAACACTACTCTTACTGCTGAAGTACTGCCGGCGGAGGTTCGGAGCACTGTGTTTTCAATGGGGTCAAAACAGGCACCGGGTTCTGATGGTTTTACGGGGAAGTTCTTCAAGGCCTTTTGGGATATAGTAGGTGACTCGGTTATTGAAGCGGTCACTTCCTTCTTCACAACTAGTAGGATGCTGCGCAGCTTCAATCATACTTGGTTAACTCTGATCCCTAAGGTGGATAATGTGGAAACCATCAGGCAGCTGCGACCGATTATTCTATGCCAATTTGTGTATAAGATTATCACCAAGATCATGGCAGAAAGGCTGGCGAGGTAATTACCTGATATTATCTCGGAAGGACAAAATGCCTTCATTCGTGAAAGACAGATTGTGGATAATATCCTCCTTGGTCACGAATTGATGCACTATCTTAAAATCAAAACCCGGGGGAAGAAAGGATACATGGCTATGAAGGTTGACATGGAAAAGGCCTATGATAGAGTTGAATGGTCCTTCCTGCTGGCAGTTTTGGATAAGATGGGGTTTGATGGTAGGTGGCGAGGGTGGATACATGAGTGCCTCCGGTCCGCCTCGTTTTCGGTTATGATGAATGGGTCTCCGTCGAGGTACTTTGCGCCTTCTCGGGGACTTCGTCAGGGTGACCCCTTGTCCTTTTCTTGTTTGTCATTTGCTCTGAGGGATTTGCGGCCCTGCTTAGGAAGGCAATCATGGCAGGCAATCTTGAGGGGGTAAAGGTGGCACCCCAAGCTCCTCGGATTTCGCATCTGTTTTTTGCTGATGATTCCTATCTCTTCTTGCGAGGCTCGCTACAAGAATGCGAAAATCTCATCAAGGTGTTGAATGAGTATGAGGAGTTGAGTGGGGAAAGGGTCAATTTGGAAAAGTCGGCGGTGTGCTTCAGTAAAAATATTGCAGTACCTGATCAGGAGTTTCTGGCTCAGGTTTTAGGGGTGGGCGCAGTTGGGGTCCATGAGAAGTACCTCGGGCTCCCAACCCTGATTGCACGGTCAAAGTCGGCTACGTTCCGTTATGTTGAGGAGAAATTGTTGGCTCGATTGCAAGGGTGGAAGCAGAAAACCCTGTCCTGGGCTGCTAAAGAGACGTTGATTAAATCTATTGCTCTAGCCCTGCCCTTGCATGTAATGTCTTGTTTTAAGTTACCTCTCTCCCTGTGTAGGATACTGGACAAGTATGTGGCTCGGTTCTGGTGGGGTGAAGGGGAATACCGCCAGAGGATACACTGGATCTCTTGGAGGGTAATGTGTCAAAGTAAGCATGAGGGGGGGATGGGCTTTAGAAGGTTTGAGCAGTTTAATCAGACATTATTGGCCAAAGTAGGGTGGCGTATTCTTACTGAGCCTCATTCTCTGTTAGCCCAAGTATACAACCGTAAGTACTTTCCGAGAGGGGAGTTCTTGTCCGCCACGGCCCGTTCTCGCCCCTCGTGGGGGTGGCAGAGTATTCTGTATGTTCGACGTTTGCTTGCTCTGGGTCTTCGCTGGCAGATTGGGAATGGCCAGTCTGCTTCTCTTCTCCATTCCAATTGGATCCCGCGATTACACACTGCGCTCCCAATCTATAATCCTCAGGTGTAACCGGAGGGAGGAGACCTCAAAGTTGCTGAAGTTATTTGTCAAGGGGAGGGGCGATGGTGTGATCGTAAACTTAGTCAGTGGTTTGACCCACCCACTTGTCACGCTATTAAATCGATCCCCCTTCCTCGCCGGGATATTCCGGATAAGCTAATCTGGCATGCGACCAGCGATGGAGTTTTCACTGTTAAATCTGCCTACCATCTGGCAGTGCTTTTAGAAAAAGAGAGTGGGAGGTGGGGGGAAAGAGTTAGCTGGATGGATCGATCTAGTTGGATTCGTTTGTGGGAGGCTAATATCCCGCCCAAACTTAAGGTCTTTGTCTGGCAAATTTTTTCTAGAATCTTGCCCACGACGGAGGCCTTGCGGGAGAAGAAGGTTCCAGTTCTCCCTCGGTGTCCGGTGTGCTGGGCAGAGTCTGAAAAAATGGAGCATCTGTTTCTTGATTGTCCGGTGGCCAGGGCCCTCTGGGATTATACTGGATTGGAATATATAGGCCAAGGCTTCCACGACATACATTTCCGCTTTTTCTTAAAAGAGTGTTGATGCTAATCCACCAGCCATCTTTGTTTCTTAAGGTGGTCATGGTCATCTGGCGAATTTGGCGATCTCGGAATTGGGTGGTTTTTGAGGGAAAGCAGTTTGGGTTCCCGGCCTTGGTAAGGCAACTTGACCAACAGTTTGATGAATGAGATCGTCTGCCTCCGGATTGTGCGGCCATTTCAGTGCGGTCTCAGTTGCCCTCTGTGGGACGTGATGGATCACAGGTACCGGTTTGTAGATGGGATGGGGCGACTAAAAATGGTTCGCATTCAGCAGGTGGGATGGTAGTTATGAACCAGGCTGGTGAGATCATCTTTGCTAATGGGGTCCAATTTCGCTTGATCTATGATCCTCTGGTAGTGGAAGGCCTGGCCCTCCGTAAGGCGGTTGTTTGGTGTCGCGATCATGGCTTTACGATGATGCAGTTTGAAGGAGACGCCAAGGTGATTATAGACAAGATCTTGCTTGCTGATGCCAGGGATAACCGGATAGGGGCGGTTCTTCAAGAGCTCATTCAATGCTTTGCTAGTCATCCGGGGTTTAGTGTGAGATTTGTAGGTCTGCGTAACAATAGGGTAGCCCATTTAGTGGCTAGGAAAGCCCTCTCTTTGTTTCCGTCTATGAATCATGTGTTTGATTATCAGGCCTGGCTGAATTCCAGTATGTAACTTCCTATCTTTCTGATCAATATATGATTATCTTTTGTAAAAAAAAAATTAAAACTATTGTAATAAATGTAAAATTAAACATGCTCAGAATTTAGCAATACAGAGTCGAACAAACACTACTACGAATCATTATGATGCACTTGGAAACAAAATTGTACAAAATTAAACCCTAAATAGACAATATTTTGATCCAAAGGATTAGCGCTTTACAATTCAGGTATGTACCACCATAGAGTTTAGCAATACAAATGTAAATTTGGCATAGAAGGGGAAAAATTGAGAACATTAATTGGATAGAAAGAATAGAGACAAAATAGGATGCTATCTCTGGAATTTTGTTTATCTTGTAGCCGTGGGGTTCCCTTTTTCTCATCCATCTTTCTTCTGTGTAGAAAGGACCTAATCGTCCAGTATTGCTTGTCCTTATTCTACTCCTGGGTCCATCTAATCATTTCTCTTTCAATTTGCCTTTATTATTTCCTCTTATTTATCACTATTCTTATATTCCCAATTTTTTTTTCATAATACTCAATATATATTTCTAATCTTTCCACATTACAGCTTGACTCTCGTCTTCGTATTACAATCTAAACAAAATTCTAAGGAGTGAAAAAAGAAAGTAATAATAAAAATAAAGCGATTAAGCAAAAAATTTCAAAATCTAGCATTCTCGAAGCCGTGCATATCACTGACTCTGTTCATGTGCTTCCTCATTATCGCTAACTTGGCCAATTTCTCCGCAGCTCGCCAAGCCGACATCGGCGTTAATGGCTCGCCCTTAACCTCCTCTTGTTGCTGACCGCCGCCGCTTCTCTGCTGAGGCTGCCTGATCAGCTGCGGCTTCCTGCGCTGCAACTCGGCTAGCTCGGCGTCCACGCACCGGAGACACTCCCCAGCCGTGCCGTCGCTCCGCTGCATCAACAATGCTCGAGCCGACGACAGCAGGTGGTACGCTCCCGAGAAATCCCCGTGCTCGATTAATCGCCGAGATTCCGCGACTCCACGGACGGCCACGTGAACGTTCCTCAGCCGTCCAGTCAGCAAGCCGTTCGATCGAACGGCTTGCAGGCTGGGTATCACGAGACACTGCTCTCTACCGTTGATTACCTCCTGCGAACAAGTATCCCTAAACGACGATCGGACGGATAACATGCGGTGGGCCCGGCTCGACGCAGATGACGGCACTCTCAACTCGACGAGGAGCTCTCTCTCTTCCTCCACGTGGAGATCCCCCACTCGGATCGACCCGGGTCCAAACACAGCGGGCGGACCAGTGACCGAATAGACCGCGGCTACCTCCGCCGGTGCTGACCCAGAAGCGAACCCGACCTGAAGCTTGAGATCCTGAACCACGACCCGTAACAAACCCCCCAGACACTTGGAGAAGGCGTCCTCCAGCGGCGCGTGCTTGTACGCGGTAACGTCTCCCAAGCCAATCGAGTGAACCGGAGTTCCTGAATCAGAGTAGCGCGTGGAGGAAACCAACGGCGACGATGAGGGGTTATTACGAAGCGAGGTGATGCGGGTCCGATCCTCTCGACCGTCGGATAGGATCAAGATTGTGGCGACTGGATTCTTCTCGCGGCGGTCTTCGATCACTTTCAAGGCCTTCTTCAGCGCGTCGTTGACGGTCATCCCTTGACCGGTTGTTCCCAGCGATTCCACCACCCGGCGGGCGGATCTCCTCCCGTTGGCCGTCATCCGCCGCAGTGGCAGCAGCCGCTTGGAGCTTCCGGCGAAGGCGACGATGGACAAGCGATCCGTCCTCGTCAGGGAAGATATTACCAATTTCATCGCCCTCTTCACCATCTGCGATTTTGTACCGGACATTCTGTCGCTGACGTCCAGCACCGTCACCAAATCCACCGGAGCCCGGCGGGCGCCGCGGGGCGCCGGTGGCGCTCTGACTTTCATCACCATCACGTGAGTCTCGTAGCCTCTGACAGCCGCCACCAACGCAGATTCCGGCAACAAACTAACCTCCACGTTTTTCGCACCCACCACGATATTAAGGTCATGATTCGGATTCTCCTTTCTGCCCCTTCCCTGAGCTGGATTTACGAAAAAGCCCTGGAACTCAACGTCGCTCGATCCGTGGTCGTCGTCTAATTCGGGGTCAGTTTCTTCCAATTCGGGGATGGGATTGCACAGAGAGCCCGGCGACGGGGACATCAAGGGCTCGTCGTCGTTGTAGACCCTGAGATTTTTAGGCTTAGATTCGCCGTCGAAACGGGTTTCTTCCATCCGGAATTCGGAGTTTTGATAAACGGAGAGCAGGGGAAGCTCCTTCCAGGCCGAGTTACAGACTGGGCAGAGGAGGAGATGTTGCTTGGTGAAGTGAGAAGTGACGCAGGGGAAATGGAAGGCGTGGCCACATTCCGCCGTGAAAATGGCCGTCCCCTGCCCGCTCTTCACGGTCTGTGCACAGATTCCGCATCGACTCTGAAACGGGTCAATAAGAGGCAATGATATCATTAGAATCAATTCATAAGCGAGGAAAAGAGAGGAGGTGGAAAAAAAAAAAAAGAAGAGAAAAACAGAGCAGATCAGAGGAATTGGGACTTACTTTGGAGAGGCGGAGGGTGGATTTGAGAAGAGAGAAGCTGGAAGGCGATTTAGGGGAGGAAGGGTTGGAGGAGAAATTGAAGAAACGAGGGCTGTTAATTGCTGAAGCGGGCTTGCAGGCGGAGGAAACATTGGCTGTCTTGCAATGGAGTTTGGGGCTGTTAGGCAGGGAGGAAGTTGGGGACCCGGCGGCCGCGGTGGTGCGGCAGCGGAGAGTGGAAGGCCCCGGCGGCGGCTGAGACTGGGAGTGGAGACGAGGAGTAGATGGGTTGGAGAAGAAGCCAAATTTGGAGCTGATTCTGGGGCTATTAGAAGTGCTGCCGGCGCCGCTGCAATGTGGCTGTTGCTTGTCTGAAGAAGCGGCGGTGTCGAGTTTCTCTTTGGGAATGGAAGTGCAGAAGGCTCGCCTCCAACCAGTCACCATTGTCAAAATCTATCAAGAAGAGTTTGAAGAGATGGAGTATTATGAAATAATTTCCAATCGGGTGTCAGGGAAGAAGAAGAAGTGGTAGCCGGTTTGGTTGGGAATGGAGAAGGAAAAGGTTGACGAACATAGAAAGGGAGAAAGAGAGATGGGTTGGGAGGAGCAACTAATTGAGAGGAAGAAAAGGGCAAGGGCAGTAGTAGAAGAAGAAGGGTGGGAGAAGGAATGGATTGGATGATTTATTATTAGTGGGAATTTGTCTTTTGGCTTAGCTCTGGCTTTTTGCCTCTCTCCCTATAATGCGACACAACCAGAATTTAATGATCGACCTCGAACAGAAAAACAAAGCAAAAAGAAAATCATTAATTGATGAGATTTTTTAAAATAGGGAAAATAAAGGAAATTATATATAGTGTATGGGGATTTGGGGGGGGAGAAGGGGGGTGAACAGACAGGTGGCGGTAGGAAGAGTAGCAGTGAAAAAGAAAATACAGAAGAGGTCAACGAGAGAGAGAGAGAAGGGAGAAGAGATGGTGGGTCAGTGCTTTCGTTAAAACAGACAAAACCTTTTGCCATTCTCACGTCTGTGTTTTTCACCGACCTTCTCTCTCTCGCTGTCTATCGCTGCACAAACATTAATACACTGAACCCAACAATTGCAAAAAATTATTAACGCAGGCCTTCTCTTCTCTTGCTCAGTGTTCGGTTTCTGGTGTTTTTTTTGTAATTACCTGGCCGCTAATGACAACCTTATAATTTACTTTAATCGGATTGTAATGGCGACAACAGATACATAATACGTGCCCCTTTTGATATTACCATTATAATTATTTTAAGAAATAGGTTCTAATACGAAATTAGATTTAATGGTTGTAATTGTGTAATGATAGATCTTACAGGTCGTTTGGATGAGGAATTGTAACGGATCAATTTGACACAATTGTCTCGTTTGCCAGCAAAAAATTTGGTTGGATCAATCTGCCTGAGATATTTTGAATTCATCCGTTTTGAGTCAATTTCAATTACCTGGGGTGGGGCAGGTAATTCGAATTGACTCGTTTTAATTGTCTCGTTTATAAAACGAGACAATTGATCAAATTGACTCATTTCTAGATTGATCCATCCAAACGACCCCTTACCGTCTATATTGTAAGGAATATGGAGGGAAACTAGAGATTTTGGGGACAACTCATGCCCTGTTCACTTGTCATTTTGTTTTCTGTTGTGAAAATAAAAATCACGAAACAAATGACAAAAAACGTGTTCACTTGTAGTTCTATCCGAACATGCTATAAATGCTTATTCATCCAATTTTGACCTGCCACGTCATAAAACCGGACATGCCACGTGAGTTCTACCTGCCATGTCATATTACCCGACCCATGATCCAAGCAACCTAAAACTCCATTGGCCCAAATGAAAACCTCATTCCGAACCATCCTCCCTAGTCCCTTCTTCTCAGCCGCCGTCGACCCCTAATCCCCGCCGTCGCCATCAACCATCGCAAAGGGATTCAACACCACCATCGCCAGCCCATCTCTGCCAGGCCTTCAAGAGTAGCAGCCCGATGTGTATTTCGCTCAACGTCACCAAAGGGGCAACTATACAGTAGTGAATGTTGAGTTTGATAGCATTGAAGATTTAGAAACCCCGTCGACGGTGACCAAAGGGAAGGGAAGATGGGTTGATTGTCGATGCTTCTGGTGACTAGCTCTTCCTCGAAGCCGATCGCCCCTTGCCTCCTCTTGTCTTTACTCTCAAACCTAGGTACTCCCAAACCCAGAACACGGCGGAACCCCAAAACTGAGGCACTCTCCAACGCGGCGGCGCTACTGCTTCTATTCGGGAATACAGATCATCAACGAATAGATCAGAGATGGAACCCGCAACCCAGATTTGTCGGCGGCGAAGATAGAGGCTGACCACCACCCTTGGATTCGAGCCCCCAACTGTCTCTAGAGTTAGTTTCGCTCGTCGAGTCTGAAATCGACGCGGCAAAGAGGCGATTCTCCCAGATCGAGCTTGACCAGAGAAGACGGCGGTGCGGGACTGGAGTGCGGAGGTGAAGTTTTCGTTGGTTGGAAGACGGAGACGATATAGCAGCAGTACTTTCTGGGAGAGACGGATGATGATTTCCCCTTGCCTTGGGGGTCCCGTCTTGAGAAGATGATGAGCAGCGTCGGAGGAAGGTCTGGCGACGACGAGGAAGATTCGATAGGAAGGATGCTTGGGCGACGAAGGGTCGCAGCCAACAACGACAAGGAGGAGGCGTGACTCGACTCTACTGTCACTCCAGGAATTGGCCAAGTGAAACCACTTCCTAAAGCGTAGTATAGCGGGTTTGGGTTTAATTATCAACCCGGGTCCTAGATGTAATGACTACTCAGTGAATTCTTGTTATCTAGCAATGAAACTGGAATGCAAGTCTAAACTACCAAACAAACAAATCAAGTAAACTGTTGTATTCAGGTTAAAGAGGTCACCCGGATATGGTTCCCCCTAGACTGCAGTTAAGCCGGATTGTAATTACCAAGTTCAGTTTCTATGAAAGTTATACTGCGGAAGGTTCTTAAACAGCCTGAAGTCTCGACTAAAGGTCTTCAGACCCTCTCAATCTGACTCTCTAGCGGGCGACTAACCTCCACCGGAGTCGACAGATTGAGGCCCTAAGAACAAAACCTCCACTACCGGGGTAAATCCGGTACAGAATAGTGAGTTGGTTCCTCGACTAAAGTCACCAAATCCCTACCTTCAATCAAGGATACTCTATTAACCTAGTCAGATATTCTCATTCTAGGTTAAAGCAGAAACAACAGGAATTTGATCAGGATTCAAGTCATTCAATCATTAAAACCTCAATCGAATATAATCAATCACAGAATCAGTACTTGGGTTCATACAATCAAAGCCTAACATACAAATCTAGGGTTCTCCATACCCAGATGAATGGGAGAACTACTCCATGGAGAAGAAAGCAAAAGCAGAATCAGACGCGGAATTCATACTGTAAAGGACGGATTCCAGCTCCTGGACGTTGATCGGCACTTCTCCAAGCTCAAACTGGCCTCCAATGGTGTTGAAGATCAATCTAGGGCACTTGGGAACTCTTGCTCATCACTTTCTCTCTCTAGGAACTGATCTCTCTCTCTAAAACTCGAATCCCCCCTGTGTTGTGGCTGAAAATCTGCTTAAAAGCATCAGTGGCCAAAGCACGGTCGAGGGCACGGCCGTGCTTTGCCTGACTCCGCCCGTGTCTCGGCCAGGGCTTAATTACACGGCCAGCAAGTGGGTTAAACACGGTCGTGCTTCGCGTTGGACACGGCCGTGCTTTGGTGGAACACGACCGTGCTTTGGTGGAACACGGCCGTGCTTCGGTGCCCGTGGTTGCAGCTGAATTGGCCAAACTGAATTTGCTCTCGGCATAAAAAGCACGGCCAGCAGTACACGGCCGTGTAATGCCTTGGGTCTGCCCGTGTTTTGGCTCCAGCTCACCGAAATGACTTCCGAATGCCCCGAAACTCGCGGTTAGCCTTCCCTTTAACGCCTGGGACCTGAAACATGACAAAATAGCACAACCCGGCGTAAAATAGGCCAAAACACACGACTATGCCCCTCAAACGGATAAGAACTAGGGGCGCAAATATGTGCAATTGCATCGTTATCAAACTCCCCCACACTTAACCGTTTGTTTGTCCCCAAGCAAACCTAACTCAAACCAATGCAGCTCTCCAGACCTCTATAGCAACAAACAACCTAGATCGTAGGTAGAGGACTTCCTAGATCATTTAGCAACTTACGAGGTCAACCAACGCACAAGTCATCTCATAGCTTCTTCGGCGAGTCGGCATCATGGCAAACAGTGAACAGAGGACAAATGAATCGTGGATGAAGAGATTCTCTAAAACAAAAGATCATGGACTCACATTTTTCAAGGTGCTCTATTTTCTTTGAAGATGGTTGGAACCCCTTTTTTTTTGTTTTGCTTGTTTTCTGTTATTTTTCTTATCTTTTTTTCTTTTCAAGGGTCCCAACCTGCTCTTACCGGCCATGCCAGGAGCGGATGTCTCGAGCCTCGTGCGGGGGAAAGACATGTAAGGGGGCTGGAGGTAGTAGGTGGAAATTGGGAACGGATTCCCGTCTCCCCTTACACACTTTCGCCCTATTCGCACGGGAGACGTTTTTTTGAAGCACATTTTTTAGCACCTGTTATTTTCAAAACATGATACAAGAGTCCATGACAGGCAGAGAATCCACAACACCACACAATTCAAGGGTCCTAAGATCACTAATTCACTCAATCAACCAACACAATATGAAGAAGAAATGAGATTTCTTAAATGCATCAACATCCTCCATAGTGCTACACTACCTCCCTAGGTTGCATATTACTATAAAGACTGTCAATTCAAAGCATACTGAGCAGGCAATTGCAAGGAAACACGTACTTGGAGCCCTCAAATTGAAAAATTTGGACAGTGGACTAGGCTCCAAGCACACAAACAGATCTAATGCAGCCAAAAACTTGACTCGACTCTACTGTCACTCCAGGAATTGGCCAAGTGAAACCACTTCCTAAAGCGTAGTATAGCGGGTTTGGGTTTAATTATCAACCCGGGTCCTAGATGTGATGACTACTCAGTGAATTCTTGTTATCTAGCAATGAAACTGGAATGCAAGTCTAAACTACCAAACAAACAAAGCAAGTAAACTGTTGTATTCAGGTTAAAGAGGTCACCCGGATATGGTTCCCCCTAGACTGCAGTTAAGCCGGATTGTAATTACCAAGTTCAGTTTCTATGAAAGTTATACTGCGGAAGGTTCTTAAACAGCCTGAAGTCTCGACTAAAGGTCTTCAGACCCTCTCAATCTGACTCTCTAGCGGGCGACTAACCTCCACCGGAGTCGACAGATTGAGGCCCTAAGAAGAAAACCTCCACTACCGGGGTAAATCCGGTACAAAATAGTGAGTTGGCTCCTCGACTAAAGTCACCAACTCCCTACCTTCAATCAAGGATACTCTATTAACCTAGGCAGATATTCTCATTCTATGTTAAAGCAGAAACAACAGGAATTTGATCAGGATTCAAGTCATTCAATCATTAAAACCTCAATCGAATATAATCAATCACAGAATCAGTACTTGGGTTCATACAATCAAAGCCTAACACACAAATCTAGGGTTCTCCATACCCAGATGAATGGGAGAACTACTCCATGGAGAAGAAAGCAAAAGCAGAATCAGACGCGGAATTCATACTGTGAAGGACGGATTCCGGCTCCTGGACGTTGATCGGCACTTCTCCAAGCTCAAACTGGCCTCCAATGGTGTTGAAGATCAATCTAGGGCACTTGGGAACTCTTGCTCGTCACTTTCTCTCTCTAGGA